CAGATGCAACTCGTTACGCCGGCGAGGACGATGACGTCTTCCATTTCATCGCCTACACGAGCATCAACTCAACGCTATACGAGCTAGATGGCCTCCAGCCAGCACCAATCCGACACGGCGACGCAGGCGCCTGCCCATCAGAGATTTTCGCCGATGCTGTAGTCCCTGTCTTGCAGAGGCGAATCGAGCGGTACCCGGCAGGCGAGATTAGATTCAATTTGCTGGCAATGTGCGAGGACTTGAGGGTACGAGCGAAAGAGGTTGGCGATGCCGAGGGACTGGAGCGGGAAGAGGCGAAGAGACGCGAGTGGAGGTGGGAGAACGCACTTAGAAGACACAACTTTGTGGGCTTCATTGGGGAGGTGATGAAGGGCGTCACTGCGCAGAAGCTTGAAGAAGGGAGTCACGAGGCCTGGATCGAAGATGCGAAGAAGGCCACACAGAAGCGAGTTGAGGATAGGAAGAAGAAGGGTGAAGTCGGAGGGGACGATATGGACATGTCATGAGCTTGATAGAAACCGCCACGCTGGACGAGAGAGCCGATCATCAGATGCTTGTACTGACCCCAGGGCGAGTCGAAGCCTGAAGCCTTGAGCTACGGCTAAGCTGTGCCTCAGACGATGCGAACAACTGCACATATGGACGGATTGCGAATACCTACGACCTCGAAGCTGGACAGAGTGGACTGATCTCTCAATGAGCACCGTCCAGCACAGCTACGACTACGAAGCGGACTATTATTCCTCCGGCCACGTTCGATCGGCCCGGAGAGCCACAACATACACTGCAAAGGGCAGGTAGAATTGCCGCTACAGCTTGCAGGAGCTCCACACAATATTTCTCACATGCCGTCACTCACGCATTTCCAGTGGCACAGATCAGCGATAGACGCGACTTCAGCCTCAATGCCTTCACCGCAATGCAGCGATATATGCACCAGTAGGCCCACGACAGTACGGTAAGTATATTCACATCTTTCTTACCCACTTCAGTCTCTCCGTTTGCCCTCTCCAGTCTTTTGCAATCCCTGACGCAGTCTCCACGACCATGTCCGCCCCCAATGACCTTCCTAAGATGCAATACCGTTTCCTCGGGAACTCGGGCCTCCAAGTCTCCTGCATTTCGATCGGCGGCTGGCTCACCTATGGCGGCCATGTCGCTAATGAAAACACCTTCGCCTGCATGAAGGCTGCGTACGATGTGGGTATCAATTTCTTCGACTGCGCTGAGGGCTACGCCGGTGGTGAGAGCGAGAAAGTCATGGGCGAGGCAATCAAGAAGTACGGCTGGAAACGCAACGACTACGTGATCTCCACCAAGATCAACTGGGGCGCTGCGAACGGTGACAACCCAGCGAACAATGGAGGCTTGTCGAGGAAGCATCTCGTTGAGGGAACGAAAGCGAGTCTGGAGCGATTGGGCTTGGACTACGTGGATCTGCTGTACGCCCATCGCCCAGACAGGCATACGCCTATGGAGGAGATTGTGAGAGGGTTCAATTACTTGATCGATACGGGCAAGACGTTTTACTGGGGCACTTCCGAGTGGAACGCTGATGAGATTGAGCGCGCACACCATGTGGCTGCTAAGCTGAACCTCATTGCCCCTATTATGGAGCAGCCGCAGTACAACATGCTCGTGCGAGAACGCTGCGAGAAGGAGTACTCGTTGCTGTACAAAGAATACAACCTTGCACTTACGCCCTTCAGCCCGCTGAAATCAGGCATTCTCACTGGCAAGGTACGCTTCTCTCACGCTACTATCCTCCACACCCTCAATTTAACAACCCTCGCAGTACAACGACGGCATCCCGTCCGACTCCCGCTTCGGCCACAAATCCGACGACCACTACATCAAGTCCATGCAAGCAAAATTTGGCACCGACGACTGGGAGTCAGAGCTGAAGAAGGTGGCCGCACTAAAACCTATCGCTGACAAGCTTGAGACTTCACAAGGCCGCTTGGCGATGGCGTGGGTGCTCAAGAACCCGCATGTGGCTTCTGCGATCACTGGCGCGAGTCGACCGGAGCAGGTGTACGATTCGGTTAAGGCGATTGATTTGCTGCCGAAGTTGACGGAGGAGGTGATGAAGGAGATTGATGAGGTACTGGGGAATAAGCCGGAGGCGTTTACCATGAGGTTTTCGTAGAAGATATTGGATCAGGTCTGTTCTCATGATTTCTGTAAGACGAGTACGTCTATCAACAGCCGCCATCGGGGACTACCTCAGCAACTGTGCGACACCATGTTATGCATCTCACTTCCCATGTTTCTGTCGTAGTCTCTATGCCAGCTCATCGTATGATTTGTGACCACCATGGACTGCTTTAATACTACACAGGTGTTCTCACCATGTATGCTTCGATCTTGCTCTCGAAAGTTGCATCGTCGTTGCCGAGGTTCGAGGGACTCGAGTTGAACTGTAGACAGTCCAATGCAATGTCAGTTACAATTGCATTCGCAGTGTAGCATACCATATTTCTAGGTGCCCTATCATACTCGACTGGAGTGTGGAACTCGATCGATCATGGCCGGCAACTCGACCTTCACCTGGCGGAAGAATCTCACGCTCGACTCCAAAGTCTCTCCCTTCGACTCTCCCCTACCGGCAACGCATGGTGCCTTCAAAGACATTAAACCCGTATCATGGCGCCGCTACAACATCGCCGGCATCCTCCTAACAATCTACGGTCTCGATGAACTCACAACGCACGACTCAGTGACGTGTCTTTGGCTCCTCCATGGACGAGGCGACACCCAAGATTCCATGTCCTTCACAGCAGCCGCTTTCCTCAATACCTGGAACTCGAAACGCAAACCTCACGACCGCGGACTCATCTGCGTATGCTTTGATCAACGCAATCACGGGAGTCGAATGGTGGACAATCTTGCTAATGAGTCTTGGAAGGGTGGCAATCCGACGCATGGGCCGGATATGTTCACTTTGTTCTCGGGCACGGCGAGGGATGTGTCGATGTTAATCACGCATCTTCCCGCTTATCTACCCTTCACACCTGCAGAGCATTGGTGTGGAGGCGTCAGCCTGGGTGGTCACGCGAGCTGGCACGCTGTGCTGCACGATCCGAGGATCACGGCTGCGATCATAGTGATTGGGTGTGCAGACTATGTGCGGTTGATGACTGATCGAGCAGTCAGGAGTAAGCTGGGGACGTGTATGGACTCGAGTCCACCCGGGCGGAACTTTCTGGGATCGAAGGACTTTCCTCGGTCTCTTGTGGAAGCTGTTGAGCGGCTGGATCCGGCTGGGCTACTGCTGGGCGAGCTGGACACGGTCACTGGCGATGACCATTTGCACATTCCTTCGGACGCTGAGATCAAACGGCTGAAGCCAATCATGCGGGAGAAACTGGCTGGGAAAAAGCTACTCTTACTGAGTGGTGGCAAAGATCGATTGGTGCCATACGAGCAAAGCGAGCCATTCGTGACGTGGCTCAAGAAGGCCATCGACACCAGAAGTGGGTGGTGTAATGATCAGGGAATAGATGTCGAGGACATCGTCGATCCGACCGGACGACATGAGTTCTCGGCGCCGATGCGGCGAGAGGCTGAGAGATGGTTATGTGATCGACTTGCAGATGCATCGAGTAGAGGAGGTAGAGATAGCAAGATATGAGCTATTCTTCGTCCTGTAACATCAGCTCCCTGAATATCCGTCGGCTGCTTCGTCCCAGGCCAGAATGTTCAATCGTATGTTAGTTGAGAGCGACCCTGTGACTGACTGTCCGGGAACAACATTTCACGACGCTAGGCCGACTGCTGGGTCGTACTTTCCTCACACGAAAGCTGATCGCTCAAGTGGATCTTCTCCTGCACGCAAGATCTGACCGGTGCGTGCTACATACTCCAGGTAAATCACAATATACATACAAATCCAGGGTATAGGTTGCCGTGAGGCTATCCATCTTTCCGAACACCAGACGCCATTAATCCAAGTCCTCTGCATCCTGCAGCGGTTCTGCAACAATACTCACCCAATTCTCCTCTCGAGCATCTCCACCCTCGCGCGGAAGCTTCGCACGATCTCTCGTATCCTCCGTATCTTATCGAACTCATTCTCAAGCTCATCGATCTGGTGCAAGATGGCTCTGAAGCGCGCGATTTCGGCATCTGCCATCTCAATCTCGTTGCCGGCGCGGTCGTACTGCGTCTGTGTCGCGATCTCGGTCGCACGATTGAGCTACACAAGCATTAGTCTACCATGGCCACATGACTGCAGACCATGCGTGGTACCACACACCTGCTCCAGCCTCTGCTGTATGGCGCCCATGACCCGCTCCAGGTGCCTTCCAAGTAGCGTCAAGCTCCCCGGATCTAGCAGTAGTCTTCCTTGCGAGCTGGCTTGCGAGCCCGCCGAGCTTCGCGCTTGCTGATGCGCGAGCTGTTGGTGCTGCCGCAAGGTCGCCACATCTTGTGCGGTGAGACCTAGATTGGTATCTGGAATTGACGTCGGGGGACTCGGCGCAGTGGACGACGATGCCTGGGGTCGTGATCGGGATGATGTTTGAGGCATGTAGTGATGCGGCGGCCGGCGCCATTGGCTTCGTGATCATACGAGTGCTCGAGGTGGTGTCTTTCATTCACTGTTGTTCCTTGCTATTCCTGCGAAGTGTTGCTGCTTCTTGACTTATCCCCTCCGTTCATGGCGAAGAGTCGGTGTCACGAGGGCGCAAAGCCTCCCTCACCACCTGGACACGCGAAAGATGGAATAAGCGAGTCACTTAGCTTTTCCCGTGAGGACGTGCTGTCGCCATGTCGCCGCCGAGGCGTTGTAGCACAGGTCTCATCGCGGTGGGTACTTTGCGACCTTGTCGATACGGAGTTCAGCGTCCGCCGCTAGTGACCGCGCGCCTATCAATGAATTCGCAGGCAATGATCCAAAAGATCGACTGCGGGAAGCAACAACACCATCACCAACTTCGCCACGTGTGCGCAAAAGCCAACACATCATCCGCAACCCCCATCAACCAAAACAACGACGACGACACCTGTGTGATTCGAACACACGCTCCCGAGGGAACTGGCTATCTAAGACCTCTAGAAGAGCTGCTTGCTACATATGTAGGATAGCAGGCCAGCGCGTTAACCACTCCGCCAAAGTGCCGATGAAGGGAGGCGATTAACGCATAAATCATAAAATGACACAAAAGAATTCAGGTTGGAGCAACAGAAGCTTGCGACCTGGTCATCGGATGCACCTTACTTGGACGCTCTTATCATGTTTGAAGCCGAGGTTCCCTGCCCACTGGTACTGTGGCACAGCCTGCTCCGCTACTATGAAGGTATGCGTCAGATTTGTCTCCGCAAGCGGAGTCGTTCCGCGTGATGACTGGCAGCTGAGTAACCTTCAAGGCTCATAGTCCGGAGCAACAAATACGATCCATCCAGTAACAAACCGCTATACCGTTTGGTGCTTTCAGGCTGTAAACGGCAGGTCACAGAGACCGTGTAGGATCCCCCCTGATGCTGCTGATTCAGACATCCTCCCAGGGCTGTAGCTCACTCGGAGCTATGTACGCTCCTCGGCCGAGCAGATCCCCCATCTCGCGTTCCAGCAGGATCAGTGTCGTTTGAAACGGGACATAACGACGTCTAGCCCGTTGAGCAACACCGGACTTTAGGGAGACCACATTTGGTACTGTTGAGAACCACTGTAATTACCAATCTGCAGCTGCTATTGCGTCTTGCCAACGCAATGCTGTGGAGCTCCAAAACCGATATAAGCTCGCCCTACTGCTCATGAGAGAGCAAAATATCCATCTTCTACATCTTCCAGCCAAAGCCTTCGATATCATCCTCAACAAAGATCTTGTTGTCCGCGACAATCTCCACTATGACCAACAATATCAGCAAAGTCGCCCTAGCCGGCGCGGCTGGCTCTCTCGGCGCTCCTGTGCTGGAGGAACTACTCGCGGCTGGTTTCGAAGTCACGGTGCTTACCCGCGAAGGCAGCTCAAGCACCTTTCCTTCAGCTGCCAAGGTCATAACAGTGGACTACGACTCCGTGGAGTCGCTTCGCAAAGCCCTCCACGGGCAAGACGCGCTGATCTCGACCATTTCGACAACTGCGATCGAACAGCAATTCAAGCTACTCGACGCTGCGCTTGCGGAAGGTGTGATTCGGGTGATTCCCTCAGAGTTTGGCTCGGACACGACACAACCCGACAATCGAAAGCTTCCCGTGTATGGCGACAAAGTCAAGATCCAGGAGTACCTTCAGGAAAAGACTCAGGGTACAAAGACCAGCTACACCTTTGTGATCAACAACGTGTTCATTGATTGGTGAGTCTTTGCTCTAAGCTGCGTCTGCTTCTCCCGAACATCTGAAACGCTCCTGTGCTGTCACAAGCACACTTGCAGCAGTGGATTGTCGCTTCACTATAGCGGAGAGAAGCATCCCCATAGTAGTTCAAGTCCAGACCCGGCTCTCTCGAATGCACGGCGATGTGCCGTATCACTGTCGGGGGCATGCCGAGGATATCATCATATACGTTTGGGACTTTGGGAGAAGCGCGTGCATACTTTACAGATTTACACTAACGTCAGCTCAGGGGTATCGGATACAACTTCCTACTCAACTCCAAGAAGAGGGAGATTACTCTCTACGATGGAGGTGAGGTCGAGTACTCGGCAACGTCTCTTCGTAGCGTTGCAAAGGGCGTGGTAGGCGTGTTGAATCACCCTGAAGAGACCAAAGACCGCTTCGTCAAGATCGACAGCATTGTTTTGACCCAGCGCAAGCTCTTCGAAATCGCAAAGAAAGCTATTGGTCCTGATGGGTGGACAGTGAGTGAGCCGAACACCAGTGAAGTGGAAGCTCAGGGCTATGAAGTGCTCAAGAATGATCCGGGGAATGTGATGGGGTGGGTTGTGCCGTTGCTAATGAAAGCCATTTTCTCGGCTGAGCGCAAGTCGAAGCTGACGGACACTGATAACGACTTGCTTGGCGTGCCGAAGAACACAGAAGAGGAAATTGCGACCTGGATCAAGGAGGCGGCGGCAAAATAGCCATATATATGACAAGCGCAAATCATCAATGCACCTATGCTCAACCCGAGAGTCTCAGGAGTATCATGCTACTATCATGTGCGCCGTAAGTATTCGTGCAGATCCTCAATTCACGAGACCGCAGCTCTCGACGAAAGGCTGTGCGCAGCGACTGATGGACCTGGCTGGGAGCAAGTTGATCGTGGCAGTAAGATACAAAATTCTTAAGCGCACTCCATCTGCCACAAGACTTGCCTTCGGAGTTATGGTATCGGGTAGGTATCTATAATATCGACGTGAATTCGTCAAGGTATACGCAGGACAGCAAGGTTGAGAGCGATGTTCAGGCAATGATTATGTTCATGAAGCTATAAAGATATCATGCATTCATTCCTCTGGGATGTGAGTAGCTGTCCTGTTCGACCGCATAAAACCCCTGCAACCCACTCATCCCCCCTCGCATCGTGCCATCGCCACCACAAATGATCAAGCCCAGTTAGGTAAGGTCATAGTCGTGAGGTCGAAGGCTCAAGAGTGCGGATGAGCGGTTGAGTGAGAGTGCGCAGGGTGCTCGGTGTGCTTGTCAGAGGCAGTCTATGCCTTCTTGTTCAAGCCGAGGGCATCGGACGCAGAGTTGGCAGCGTTGGTGAGACCCTCCTGGGCCTGACCGAGGATGGAGCTACCCTGGTTCTGGGCGTCCTTGGAGCCACCGGTGACGGACTGTTATACAAGTCAGTAGATGAAGGATGGTGAACCGAGATATACATGACATACGTCGCTGGCCTTCTGGGTGGCGGACTTCTCGCCGGAGGGCTGGACGGAGCCGGCAACGCTGTCCGCGGTGCTCTTGACGGAGTCACCAGCAGACTCGAGGGTGGACTTCTGGCTGTCGGGCTTGAGGCTCGACGCGGCCTTGTCGGTGGTGGATTGGCGGCTGTTTATCATGTCAGTGATGGGGTCACATAATGAAAGCTGTACTTGGTGGCGGGGCAGGCCAAGAAGCTACTTACAGTGCGTCAGACATGTTGATGGAGTTGATTGGGTTGGTTGTTTGGTAGGTTTGAGTTGATGTTGAGTATGTGCTGGTGATGTTGTTGTAAGGAAGAGAAAGAGAATGGTGAAGAGTAAAATATGAGCAGTAAACACAAAGGAGGGGCAGGCGTGCACCATGTGCCCCGCGGATGACGTGCGGTGCCACACTTTTGCGCCACACGCATAGGCTGATTGGCTAGCTGCCAGACCACATCACATGCTCCATCGTGGTTTTTCAAAGTGAATGCTTCTCCGGCGTCACCATGACGGCTCATGATCATGCGCCTCTTCATACGGCAGCCTAGCTGGGCCATGGCACCATAATTGGCCCCAGGCTCGAGCCGAGCAAGTCAGCTTCTGCTACATATGTGGGAACCATCGCTCGATATCGAGTTCCGCTGTTTATCTGGAATTCACCTCTACACGCGATGGTGACCAAGGCTGGCTGAGCATAGCCGCCAAGCAATGAAGTCGGCGATATGCGGCGGTCTAGGCGCGCGCCGACGCCTGGACGCTTCCAATAGGCTGGATAACATGCAGGTACCCGCTAGAGAACGACAAGAATGTGGATACAACTTGTTCAAAGAACCTCAAAGGCTTCAGTCCTCCTGATCAGTCGCGCTTTGCCGTTCGAGAAGCTCCCGGGTGCTAGTAAGAGTCGCAAAAGAAAGCGTTTTGTGTTAGGCACCAACAAACAGAGTGATCATGAGACGTATGGTGCAAGAGCTCTAGCAGCAGGCACTAAGCGCGGGCAGGTCACCTACCCTTGTGCGTCTCCGAAGCTCGATGCAGAAGGTAGGCCTGGAGCCTAGACTGGCCAGCTCAGCGCAGAATATACACGCAAAACTCTACGCTGAGGCGCCGGCGAACGCGAGGACGCTATCTTACCGCTGGGTTGTCGTTAAGGGCATTGACTCAGGATCCTGCGTCAGGTGAAGTGGCTGGCCTTCCTCCCCGGCCTTCTCGACGTAGAGAAGCGAACGTAGTGAGCCAACAGCCGATCCGTGTGATTGACCTGCAATTGCATTCACCGGTCTCAATTGGCATGAGGTTAAGGTCTGCATAAGGTGCTTCCAAACACTGGTCATGATATGGATTAATAACGCAGCCTGGTCTAGTAAGCCTTCAGACATGATGCGCTGATCTCGTCCGTCCCCCCCATCACCGTATCTTATTGCGTTGCTGCACTTGTCAACCATCTGTCGTCTCATCTACTCCGCGGGACTGTACTTCGAGTTATTCTCCAACGAGAACGAAAAGTTCCACGCCAGAGAAGACGGAACAAACACATTTCTCTTCCAACCCCCGTCCACTCTGGTCGTGCGCACGAACAGCGATCGTCCTGAATGTAATGGACGACGATAGGCCTTGTTATTAAATCTATAGCCGGTTTTGGACAAGGCTTCCTTGATCGACTATTACGTGCTACAGCGGAAGTCGGCGGCTTCAAGCTCGCGTCAGTATGAATGCCGTGCAAGGCGGCGTAGCTTCGACAATCGTCAAATCAAGCGGCAGGATTCCAGGTGAATGGGAGAGACTGTTGCCGTCATACCTTTGGCAGTCCATCTTCCATGTCGCCGTCGAATTGATCCGATAGAGACGCGTCAGAAAGTGAGCACTCGGTACAGTTTAGTGCTGGCAACGTAGTATGGAGAGCTCGCGAGCGAACCATGCATTGATGACCATTGTATTGTTCGTGACCATACTGCTTCTGCTTCCATCCGCATCTCTCACTGTGTCGAGATCCTGCCATGAATTATGTGACCGGGTGCTGTTTACCCACGAAGCGACCACAGCCCATTACCTATGCTTCAGTGTTCCCCCTGGTCCTACCGTCTCGACAGCCCGAGATCCCGGTGTCGCTCAAACGCCCAAACATTACCTCCGATTCGATGTTATCCGACCCAGCCGTGCTCGCTTCCAAACGCAAACGTCCCAAGCCGTCTTACCTGTCACACCATTACCAACTTCGCAAGCAGCCGTCTCGTGCACTATTCTCGAGTTGCGAATCGTTACCCAGGTCCAAAGCATCGTCAAACGCGTTGAAACGAGTAGCCTGCATTTGAGGATGTCCAGCATCGTCAC